AAGGAAGCTGAGGTGGCTCTCACACTCCCCAAACAGCCCTGACACACAGTCAGCAGCTCTTCAAGCTGCCGAGGGGAGATAAAAGGAAACAACAACAGACAGCCCTGGAGCAGGAGGAGGAGGAGGAGGAGAAGAGGAGGAGGAGGAGGAGAAGAAGAGGAGTTGGGTTCTCAGGCCCTCTCTGTGCTCCAGTTCTGCCTTTGGGAGCTCTGTCTGTCCCAAACACGTGTGTTCCCCCCCCTCGGGCTGCCCTGGCCGGTGCAGGGGGGGTTGGTTCTCCCAGGGATTGCCGGATTTCTGGCAGGGACAGGCGGGCTCAGCTGACTCAGCGTGGCCCCGGGACGGCTGCCAGGGCTGGGCCACGTTTGTGCTCCCAGAGCCCTCCCAGAGCCCTCCCAGTGCCCTCCCAGTGCCAGCAGGAGCTGCCCCAGGACCTTTGGGGAGGTTGTGCTGGGGGATGTGAAGCTCCCACCACAGCAGCTGGGAGATCCCAGGATTGCTGAGGTTGGAAAAGACCTTCAAAATCATCGAGTCCACCCTCTGCCCCATCCCCACCTTGTCCCCCAGCACGGAGCACTCAGGGCCACATCCAGTCCTTCCTCAGACACCTCCAGGGCTGGGGACTCCAAACCTCCCTGGGCAGCCCCTTCCAGTGCCTGAGCACCTTTTCCATGGAGAAATCCCTCCTGGGGTCCAGCCTGACCCTCCCCTGGCACAGCTTGAGTCCATTCCCTCTTGTCCTGTTGTTCCCTGAGAGCAGAGCCCGACCCCCCCTTGGCTCCCCCCTCCTGTCAGGGAGTTGTGGGGAGCACCAGGGATAAGAAAGACCCTCCCCTCCCACACCTGGAAATGGGGCTCATCAGAAGACAACCTCATTTTTGGGTTTTGCTCCTCCTGGCTGCAGGTTCAGCCCAGCCCAGCAGAAGGTTCCCAGGTGCCTGCACTCTGCACCCCCAAACCCCTTCCTCTGTCCCCAGGGCTGAGAACTGCTCTGATCCCCCCAAAAACAAGGGGTTCTGCCCCCGTGGTTCTTTGGGATGGACTGCAAGGCATTTTTTGGGGTTTTCAGGCTGCCAGAGGGTTTGAGGTGATTTTTCCTCTGCCTCCAAGAGCAGAGAGGCTCCTTCCCCTGACAGGGAAATGAATGTCCCTGCAAAGAGAAGCTGCAGAGAGTGAGAGGAGGTGCAGGCTGGGGAACAGCACGTGGACTTCCCAGAGGTGCCCTTGGCTGAACCCCATCCAGGAGCACCAAGGCGGGCGCAGTTAATGAGGACCAAGTTCAGCCTCCCCAGCACGTTCCAGCTGCTGCCTCGAGTAGTGAAAGACTTTTCTCCCGATTTCTATTCACTGTTTGTGCCACTTGGAGTGCTTTGAACTCGGCCTCACCTACCCAATCTCCCTCAAAACTCGTGCCTGGGTTTGAGTCCTGCTCCTCCGTCGTCGCTCAGGAGCCGAAAATAGGGCAGAAATTTTGATATAAATTCAGGGAATGATGGCTCTAAAAGCTTCCCCCTGCACAGCAAAACACGGGGAGTGATGGCTCTAAAAGCTTCCCCCTGCACAGCAAAACGCCAGGTTTCTCCTCCCTGGTCCTGCAGCAGAGGGTGGGGGCAGGTGAGCAGGATGTGTGGGGTAATTCAGTGAACTCGGAGGGCAGGTCACGGGCAGAGGAGAGAATTACCGAGGACAAACAAATAAATAACGTGGATCTCCGGGGGGGAAAACCCTCCAGACTGCACAGAAAAGCAGAGAACAGGGACAAAGCCTGAGTCCCAGTGCAGTCAGGAGGAGACCCCTCCCCACACCCGGAGCAGGAGCTGTCGAGCAAAGGCATTCCGTTCCCTCTCCACCCCTCTGATCACCTCGGGGCCTCCTCTGGGCTCGTCCCAACAGCTCCGTGTCCTTGCTGTGCTGGATGGAGTCACCCAGGTGGGCGGTCACCTGTCCCCCCAGGTGGGGGGTCACCTGAGCAGGGCAGAGGGGCAGTGTCCCCCCTTCCCCCGGGAGGGAGGTGGCCCAGCCCTTGCCACGACTCCATCTCTGCAGTGGCACCAGGTTATTCTGGAAGATGCCCGTGCAGGGAGCAGGAGGGCACCCAAGGACAGCGGGGGCACCCAGTGACATCCCTGCTCACACTGCAGTGCTGCTGGGCTCGGTCCTTGCCAGGCTCTGGCACCTCCCGTGCCCCCTGTTCCCCTCTGGGCAAAACGTGGTGCCGGGGCAGGGACTGAATCGGTGCCATCTGTCCCTCCTTGGCACAGGGGGGGCTTTCTCCGGGGTCCTGGCCGGGTCCCAGCCTGGCCAGGTCCCTCCCCCAGCCCCGGTGCCTCTGCCCTGCCCATCTCTGCCTCTGCCCTGCCCGTCTCTGCCTCTGCCCTGCCCGTCTCTGCTCTGCTGAGACCATAAATTAAGAGGACAAATAACGATTTGCTCTCCTGGCACTGGTGAAATGAGCAGCTATTCATGAAGAAATCAATTCGGAGGCTGCTGAGAGGGGAAATGATACAAGAATAGAGGTGGAAATGAGAGCGGTGTGCAGTTTTACATCCTCTCCTAAACGACCACTGAGTCAGACACCAAATGGGAAGCGCCTGATCCGTCCCCTGTACCTGTGTGTCCTCCCCCAAACCCCTCTGTGACCTTTTTCCAGCTCCCCTGCGAGGAGAGGCCCCCAAGAGGAGGGTTTTTGCTCAGGCAGCATCCCGGAGCCAGGTGCTCTGCCGGTGTGTGGGAATGGGGCAATTAAGTTAAACCATCCCCTCTTTTCCTTTCCAACTGCTCGGCTTCGCTGCCGCTGGAGTGTTAAGGGATCTCCACCCGGGTCATTTTTAAGCTCTCAGGGGGGCCGTGGGATATTGAATTTTACCCTTTCCACCCCCCTTTGTGCTGGCAGGGATGAGACCTGGATCCCTTCCAGTTGCCATCAGGCGCTTGCTGAGCGCTGCCTGTGCCTCGGCCAGATCTTTGTCCTTCCAGTCGTTTGCTTTTGGTTTTTTCCCTTAATTATCTGCGAAGGACAGCCCTTTTGGGGGGGGTATAGATATGTGAGTGGTTTTATTTACACGTGGCCTTTTTCTTCGCCGCTGGGGCCGTATTGTCGTGGGGACTCCCAGCTGGGAGCAGGAAAAGAGGAGTCAGCGTTTCGGGAGATTCCAGCGCTGCTCTTAAAACGCGGGGAGGGAGGGAGAAGGGAGGGAGGGAGAAGAGGGTTGTAACGGGAGAGGGAACATGACAGCTCCAATCCCGGGCACTTCCAGGGCTATTTTTAAACGCTTCGTAGCGTTTTGGAGGGCGGGCAGGATGCAGGTGGGTGCTCCTCGTGCTGACGGGTCTGGCTGTCACCTCCCGTGGTGTCCCCGTGCCGGGCATCCCTCCGTGTCCCTCTGTCCCTCCGTGTCCCTCTGTCCCTCTGTCCCTCTGTCCTTCCCTGCCTGAGCCTCTCGGCTCTGGCAAACCCTGCTCAACTGACAGGGGGGGGGGTGTTAAATGGGATATTGGGAAGGAATTCCCACCTGGGAGGGGCTGGATGGATTTCGGAGAAGCGTGGCTGCCCCAGCCCTGGTGAGTGTCCCAGGCCAGGTCTGCGGGAACCTGGGCTAGTGGGTGATGGTGTGCGTTTGTCCCTGCCCGTTGGCAGGGGGTGGGATGGGATGAGCTTCAAGGTCCCTTCCCACCCAAACCATTCTGGGATTCCAAAGTCATCACATTTCCTGAACCAGCTCTGACTTCTCTGAGTTGTGCCCTGGGGTTTTCAACTTTCCTGGGTTTTTTTCAGCTTTCCTGGGGTTTTCAGCTTTCCTGGGATTTTCTTCAGCTTTCCTGGGGTTTTTTTTCAGCTTCCCTGGCTTTTCTTCTCTCCGGGTTTTTCGTTGCTGCTGCTCTCCCTGCCCGGGGTTTGCTCTGCTCCACCACTCCCCCTCTGAGGGAGCTTTTGTTCCCGAGCCTTTGCCTCAAACCTCGTCAGGACTGAAGGGCAGGTTTGCAGAACAGGATCCCGCACAAAGGAATTCTTGTACGAGCTGGATACAATTTGTATCCTTTGATGGATTAAACAAAAAAAAAAATAATAATAAAAAAAAAAGAACCCAACAGAACAAACCAACCAAACAAAGACTTCCACAGAATCACAGGACGGTTTGGGTTGGGAGGGCCTTAAAAATCATCTCATTCCAACCCCCTGCCAGGGGATTCCTGGATTCTGTGGCTCTGGGTGCAGCCAGATGGGCAGGGAGCACAGGAATAGGATCCAGGTACAACCCTTAGGGATGGGCAGGGAGCACAGGAATGGGATCCAGGAACAGCCCCTATGGATGGACAAGGAGCACAGGAATGGGATCTGTGAACAGCCCCTGTGAATGGGCAGGGAGCACAGGAATAGGATCCAGGTACAACCCTTAGGGATGGACAGGGAGCACAGGAATGGGATCCAGGTACCCTCCTGGATGGGCAGGGAGCACAGGAATGGGATCCAGGTACAGCCCTCCTGGATGGACACTGAGCACAGGAATAGCTGCCCTGCCCAAGGGCTGATCTCTGAGGGGGTTTCCATCCTGCAGCAGCACCACGTGTGCATGACTGGAATCACTGGAGCCCTCCAGGCTCCTCCATGGCCTTCTCCCAACAGCTGGCACCTGCTGCCAAAGGGATTTACTCCAGGGGCACAGCTCACCCGGCCATCTCCCACGACAGGGATAAAAACCCCACTTGCTCAGTGCTGAGGAACCATCCCAGATCCCAAGCCCTGTGAATTTGGGACCTTTTTCAGTGCTGGGGAACCATCCCAGATCCCAAGCCCTGTGAATCTGGGGCCTTGTTCAGTGCTGAGGAACCATCCCAGATCCCAAACCCTGTGAATCTGGGACCTTGTTTAGCGCTGAGGAACCATCCCAGATCCCAAGCCCTGTGAATCTGGGACCTTGTTCAGCGCTGAGGAACCATCCCAGATCCCAAGCCCTGTGAATTTGGGACCTTGTTCAGTGCTGAGGAACCATCCCAGATCCCAAGCCCTGTGAATCTGGGATGGACAAACCCCCTGGAAGGTTGAACTCCGTGTCTGTGCCGGGACATCAATAACAGACTGAACTTTTCCCTCGCTAGGAAATGAATCCCTGTGGAGGCAACACCAAAAAGGAGCCTCAGACCCTCTAGGAGACACCTGAGGAGGAGCTGTTGGAGGAGAGACACAAACTAACTCCACGGGCCTGTAGTCCCTTACCCTTACTAACAAATGTCAACAACTAGGTAACTGTTGTTCTCCCCTCCCTCTGTTCTTTCCCTCACCAGCCCAGGATTTGGGATTTAAGGTGCACAAACATGAGGGTTTTCCCTGCTCTGTGGGTCCTGTGTGTGTGAAAGGATGAGGAAAGTTTAGCATCTGTTAGTGGAGCCTGGAAAATCTGAACTTCTTCTGAAAGCAGACTGGGTGAAACCAGGCAGGGAGGATGTGGAGAAGGGGCTGGGTGAGACCTTCTTGCCCTCATGAGGTTGAGCTGCTTTGCTCTGCTCAGGGGTTTGTGGCTCCATAACCCAGGCAGGGTTTGGTTCAGGGTTTGGTTCAGGATTTGGTTCAGGTTTGGTTCAGGGCTTGGTTCAGGGTTTGGTTCAGGTTTGGTTCAGGTTTGGTTCAGGATTTCTTTCAGGGCTTGGTTCAGGGTTTGGTTCAGGATTTGGTTCAGGACTTGGTTCAGGGTTGGTTCAGCGTTTGGTTCAGGTTTGGTTCAGGGTTTGATTCAGGGTTTGGTTCAGGGTTTGGTTCAGGGTTTGGTTCAGGGTTGGTTCAGGGTTTGCTTCAGGATTTGGTTCAGGGTTTGGTTCAGGATTTCTTTCAGGGTTTGGTTCAGGGCTTTCCCTGCAGCAGCTGCACGTTGGGGAGGGTGAAGTGTTTCCTTTGGTTCCTGCAGGACTTGCTTTAATCCCGGGATGTGCCCCCCTGGCTGCAGGATGTGCTTCCCAAGCGTGAGTCAAGGGAGGAAGAGCTGTGCTGAGGGGAAGGGTTTTCTTTGTGCTCACGTCCCAAACACATCCTCCATCCACCCACCTACCCATCCATCCATTTCCCTGGAGCTCCAGCCTGGAGAGATCCTGCAGCCAGAGAGATCCTGTTCCTGGGGGAGCACCCAGGTGATGAGTGGTGGTGAAAGAAACCTTCAGGTCAGGGCTGAAAATGTTCCAACCCCTAATCACAACCCTGCCCCGGGGGCTGTGCTGGGAAGGACCACCAGCTGTGCCCTAAAGATGAGATTGAGGGGGGACTATTTGTGCTTTTAACTCCCAATTTTCCCGTGCCCATCCCCGGGTGAAGGTGGATGTAAAACCCACTGACCCCAGGGCAGAGGATTGCTGGAACACCCAGGCTGTGGCCTCTGGGAGGGTCTCGGGTCTGCAGGGCAGGAGAAGCTCCAGAGGAAGGTACAAATCTGTACCTGGGGTAGCTCTGTTACTGTGCCAGGGGTGTTTTCCCAGCCCGAGGTCAGTGGTGTGTCCTCCCACTGCCTGGATGGGGGGGAGGAGGAGGAGGCAGAGACAGCCACGGGCTCTTCCTGTGCAGAACCATCCCCCAGCTTCTAAAACTGGGCTTCAGAGGAGTGCCAAGGATGTGGAGAGCACAGAGAAACCCAGAGGTCTTGGGAAAACAACTCAGAGCTTGGGTCACGACTGCTGGAGTAAGAGGGGTCACTCGATGGCACCAGTGTGGGCAGTGGGGAGCTGCTGGTCCCTTCCCAGAGGGGCAGGGGTGGGCTGGGGGGGAGATACTTTGTCCTTGGCACCCCAGGGACACGGGGAAGGGGAAGGGCAGGAGCTGTGCCCAGGACACAGGGAAGGGGAACAGCAGGAGCTGTGCCCTGAAGGGGATGAGCAGGAGCTGTGCCCAGGAACACAGGGAGGGGGAACAGTAGGAGCTGTGCCCAGGAACACGAGGAAGAGCAAGAACTGTGCCCAGGGACATGAGGAAGAGCAGGAGCTGTGCCCAGGACATGGGGAAGAGCAGGAGTTGTGGCCAGGAATACGGGGAAGGGGAAGAGCAGGAGCTGTGCCCAGGAACACAGGGAAGGGGAACAGGAGGAGTTGTGCCCAGGACACAGGGAAGGGCAGGAGCTGTGCCCAGGAACATGGAGAAGGGGAAGGGCAGGAGTTGTGCCCAGGAACATGAAGAAGAGCAGGAGCTGTGCCCAGGACATAGAGAAGGGGAAGAGCAGGAAACTGCACTTCCCCCCTCTCCGAGCTTCCCCCTGCCCTGAGCCAGCCCTGCCCTCCTGTCTTGCAGGGAGCAGCCAATCTTCAGCACCAGGGCCCACGTTTTCCAGATCGACCCGGCCACCAAACGGAACTGGATCCCGGCCAGCAAGCACGCCCTGACCGTCTCCTACTTCTACGATGCCACGCGCAACGTCTACCGGATCATCAGCGTGGGGGGCACCAAGGTGGGGGCACAGCAGCCCCACGGAGGGCTCTCCCCCCCCCCAGAACCTCTCCTGCTGCCCGTGGGCTCGGGGTGGGCTCGGGGTTGGCGCTTTGGCACCTTCCCATCGTCAGGTGAAGCCTCGTTTCCTCCTCGCTCGGAGGCAGAACCGGAGTCTGTGCTGGGGGAAAAGGTGCCCTGGGGTCTGGTGTTGTCACACCCTGGGGTCTGGTGTTGTCACACACACCCCCCATTCCAACCCCAAGTGTTTTCCAAGAGCCTTCATCCTGTGCTGAACCCGACCCCTGCACGTACAGGGAGAGGTCGAAGAAGCCTCGGAGGTTCAATCACCTGCACAAAACACGAGTTGCTCTCCCTAAACTGTTCCTGGTGGGCACCCTCCTGCCTCCTGCTTGAAGCCCTGGGATGGCACAGAGTCTTCTCAGGCTTTTTTGCTGCTCCCCTGCCCAGCAGAGAGGGTTTCATAACACCCAGTCCTGAGAGGGAGTTTCGTAATACCCAGTCCTGAGTGGTGGTTAAGCCTTTTTTCCTTCCATCCCCCCTTACTTGCCATGAAACTGGAGAACAGCAGAAAGCTGTTGAGGCCCCAGAGACCTGCTGTCTCTTATCATCTTTTCCAGCAGTGGAGGAAGCTGCTGATACTGAGGCTTCTTTTTCTTTTTTTTTTTTTTATCATCCCTTTTCTCGGTAGAAAAGATGATTAAGATCCCTTCGTGTCACGTCGCCGGGCTTAGAAAGACTTTTGGTCACCAAAAGCCTGAACCTGAACTGCTGTTTTGCAGATGGAAAGGCAGAGATTTCTCCCCCTAACTCCCAGAGTTCACGGGGATCGTGGTGATCTCAGTGAGTGGCAAGGAAAGGGGTTGGAATGGGATGATCTTTAAGGTCCCTCCCGACCCAAACCACTCCGTGACCCCGGGATTCCACCCTCCAACCCCACACCACCCACCTGGGGCGTTCCCTGACTTGCCACTGCCTCTCTCCCCCCAGGCAATCATCAACAGCACCATCACCCCCAACATGACCTTCACCAAGACATCCCAGAAATTCGGGCAATGGGCCGACAGCCGAGCCAACACCGTGTACGGGCTGGGCTTTGCCTCGGAGCAGCACCTCTCCCAGGTAGGAGCAGCACCTCTCCCAGGTAGGAGCAGCACCTCTCCCAGGTAGGAGCAGCACCTCTCCCAGGTAACCCTACAGGGGCTCTGGAACCCCTGGAAGGCTCTGGAACCCCTGGAAGGCTCTGGAACCCTTCAGCCCCTGCTAAAAAAAAAAACCAGGCTTTGGGAACCTCAGTTAAATCCCCTCCCTGCTGCGCTAAAACCTGTGGATGCAAAGATGCAAGAAGGAACTTTAAAGTGATATTTGCAGTTGGAGCACCACTGATTAAATCCTCAGGCCCCGTTTCTGGCATTTGGCTGAGCCCACAGCCCTGAGTGCCAGGATCAGGGGCAGGAAGGGGCTGTTCCCTGGATTTGGCTGTTAAACTGAGGAGCAGGTTGACTGGGGTAACCCAGGCACCGGCTGGAGTTTGGTGCCCGTTTTGACTTTTCCCTTCCCCTCCTCCAGTTTGCAGAGAAGTTCCAGGAGGTGAAGGAAGCGGCTCGTTTGGCCAGGGAGAAGTCCCAGGATAAGACAGAGCTGACCAACCCTGCCCTGAGCCTCACATCTCACCAGGTAATGCTGGGAGAGGGGCAGGAGGGGAGGAAACACTCCCTGGGCTGACCTCCTGCTCTCATCCCCTTCTCCCCAAAAACTCTGGTGCCACCCCCGGGCTGGGCAGTGCTTTTGGTGGCCCCTGAGTGGATTAATTAATGAGGGTTTTAATGGAGCTGCTGGGAAGGTTCAACCTCCTCCCTCTTGGCCAGTTAAACCATTCTAAAAATAAATAAATAAAATAAAAAATAAAAAGAAAATAAAGAAAATCAAATGAATAAAAAATAAAATTAAAAAATAAATAAAATAAAAAATAAAATAAAAATAAAATAAAATAAATAAAAAAATAAAATGAAATAAAAAATAAAATAAAAAATAAAATAAAATAAAGCAAATAAAATGTAATAAAAATAAAATAAAATAAAATAAATTAAAGAAAATTAAAATGAAATAAAAATAAAATAAAAATAAAATAAAATTAAGAAAATAAATGAATAAAATAAAATAAAAATAAAATCTAAAATATAAAGGTAAGAAAATTAAAATTAAATAAAATAAAGAAAATAAAATGAAATAAAATTAAAATAAAATTTTAAAAAATTAAAATAAAAAAATAAACTGTGCTGCTTTTCCCCAGGGAGAAGCAGCTCAATGGGGGTGGGGAAGGTGCCCCTCCCAAGGAGGTCACTCCAGAGGTGGCTCTGCACTCCCCAGAGCTCCTGGCAGCAGGAGGGGAGCAGTGGGATGGAGGGAGGACGAGATGTTCCCTGGGCTGGGCACAGATGGAGTGGCAGCAGCAGAGGAGGAGGAGTGTGAACAATACCTTGGCCTGCAGGGAAAGCAGGGGGAGGTGGAGGCAGTGGCTCTGCACACACTGGAAATGTTCTGTGGGGAGCAAAGATGGGGAAAATCTGCCCAAATGTTGGCTCCTGCTCACTCCAAGCCCCGTCCTGCGGGGTGGCAAGGGGAGAAGGGAGAAGAGTATTCACGGCAGAACCAAAGTTTTGGGGTCTTTCACCTGAGACAGAGGTTCCTGGGCAGCTGCAGCCTCCACCTCCCAGAGATATTCCAGGGCTATTCCCTCTTGTCCTGCTCACTGCAGGCAGAACTCCTCGGGTGCCACAGCAGGACACGTTCCCTGGGCTGTGCTGGCAGCAGGGACGGGGGAGGTCAGGGAGGGAGGGTCAGACTGGGAGCAGGGAACTGGCCCAGGGCTCTGTTCCTTCCTCTGCCCTGACTCAGCAGGGCTAAAACCGCCCCAGAGTGACCCCACGCTCCCTGTTCCTGCTGCCCCTGCTCCCCTCAGCCATCCCACAGCCAGGGGGGTGACAGGGACACAGGGTGACAGGGTGACAGTGTCCCCTGCCCTGCATTCCCAGCCTTCCCCACCCCTTCTCCCGCTGCTCATTCCCACCCTCTGCATCAGCAGAGCCTCAAACATGAGCTTCACCCTTGAATAATTGATGGTGTTTCTGTTTGCAAGTGAGCAGGGAGCGGAGCTGTCTCCTGGAATTAAATCAGGCCTCCCTCATTTTCCACGCCTGCACCACTTTCTTCCTTCTGCTTCACGTTTTTTTTTTCCAGGGCTGGGGAATTCCCAGAATAGCAGCTTTTCTTCTGTCCTTTGGTACCTTTTAGGCCAATCCCCATCCCATTTAGCACCCCCATCACAGGGTATAATGCTGTGGGTGATGTGAGAGACACAACAGTGGGGGCATCTCCAGCTCTCACCGGTTTTGGTTGGCACAAAACACCAGGATAAGAAACCTCTGCCCCTTCCGTGCCTCAGTTCCTGGTGTGTGCAGGAATAGGGAGCACAGGGAAGGATAGACTTCGGTGCAGAGGCTGTTCCTTCTCCCACACCTTTGGAAAACGGGTGCCAGAGTCACCTGAGCTGAGTTTCTCTCCCTGAGAACCACCATCCCAGTGGGGCCTGAATTCCAGGGGCAGGAGCTGGGCTTGGCACTGAACCCAGTCAGGGGCTGGGGACTGAACTGGCAGGTCTGTGCTGGGAGTTTAAGCCTTTCCCCTGCTCTGAGGAACAGCAAGAAAAGCCTCTTAAGAATTCAGCAAAGCCCTGGAAAGGGCAGTTTGAGCAGCTGAGAGCTGGGCAGGGCTGTGGGACTCGGGTGAGGGGCTGTGGCACTGCTGGCATTTCTCAGCTGAGGGCCAGAGAATTCCAGACACCAGGGCAGGAGGGAGGAATAGCTGGGAGTCCACCTGCACTGGGATCTGGTGTGTGCAAGCTCTGACCCACCCTGCACTGGGATCACTGCCCCAGCAGGGTGTGGGGACAGGGATGGGGAGGACGTGGCAGCTGCTGGAAGAGCACAGCACCCACCAAGAGAGAGCCCTGTGCCCACAGAGCTTCCAAAATCATTCCTGCTCCACGGCTGGGGCTGCTGGGCCACACCTGAGGGGCTTTACCCCCTCCTTGTGCAGACAAACACAGCTCCCCCTGAGTTAGGACAGAGCCAGGTTTGTCCCAGCAGGGCAGGGATTGAGAACTCGCCCTGTGGAAAGCTCTTATAAGAATAAGAGAAGACTCAGGCTGGGAATAAATTTGCAGAGCCCTTGCGTGGCCACGTGGCCATAACCACCCCCTTTCTTCATCCCCCAGGTGCTTCCCAGCCCCATCATCAGCTCCAACGGGCCGGGAGAGGACAAACTGTTCCGGAGCCAGAGTGCTGACGTGGAGATCACGACGGAGAAGGAGCGGCTGAAGAAGATGCTCTCGGAAGGGTGAGGCTGCCCCAGGAGCTCCCTGCTCCTGCCCCCTGAGCCGCCCATTCCAGCAGGATTTGGTGCATTTCTCTGTCACCCCGAGCACTTGTGAGCCCACACTCCTGCTGAGCAGTGCCCTGATCCGATGCCCTTTCCTGGCAGGAAGTTATTCCAGCTTGGAATAACGTGCTGCTCAGGCAGCGTGGGGAGGAGGAGGCTCCGTGACTTGGTGCCAGTTATCTGCAGATCAGTAGTTTGTGATACCAGAAGATGTTCACACTTCTCCAGCTGGCCCAGGGCTACATTTTGTGTTAATTCCCCTGATGATTCCAGCAAAGTCCCTGCTGCTTCCTCTCTTTGTCTGTTCAAAGGGCTTTGGGCTGGATTCTGCCCCGTGGCTCCTGTCAAGCTCCCAGCTGAACACTTAAAGAGTATTTTTAAATCAAAAGCAAGTCTCCTTTGCTGCCTTCTCTCAAGTCCAGGCTGCTTTATTCAAAGCAAACTCAGATCCAATAAGGATTTTTAAATTGTGGATTCACAATCTCACACTGCAAAGCCCCTTTTGTGGCACCTGCATCTCCCCCACCCCGTTAATCTCTGCAGTTTCAAAGTCAAATATTACCCAGGGACAAAGGGAAGAGGGGCAGGTTCAGGGCTGGAAGGAGAGCTTAAATTCGGGAAGTGATGTGAGGGCTGAGTGGGAACCTGTGGAGCCTCTGAGCACTTCCAGGAGCATCGTTTGGGCACGGGGGGGGTGATGTGTGTGTGTGTGAAGGAGCCTCCCCTGCTGTCCTGGGCTCAACTCCCCTGCTCTCCTCCCCCAGCCTCTGTGGTGGAGGTGGCAGTGGGAGGGCCGCTGAGTTCTTTCAGCCTCCAGGACAACAAAACAAACAAGCTGGTGGCCTGCTCTGCCCACGAGGCCAATGCAACAAGTGGAACAGTGGGAAGAAGCAGCTTCAGGCGTACCAGGAGGAGAAACGGAAAGACGCCGCGGCAGCGGTGTGAGCCCGGGGAGCTCCATCCTACCCTCCCATCCCATCCCAGCCCATGCCCACCCAACCATCCCACCCCATCCCACCCCATCCCACCTCATCCCATCCCACCCCATCCCACACCATCCCACCCCATCCCATCCCCATCCATCCATCCCATCCATCCATCCCATCCATCCCACCCATCCATCCCATCCCACCCCATCCCACCCCATCCCCCCATCCCACCCCACCCATCCCCATCCCATCCCATCGCCCATCCCATTCCCACCCCATTCCCATCCCATCCCATCCCATCCCATCCCATCCCATCCCAAATCCCATCCCATCCCATCCCATCCCACCCCATCCACCCCCATCCCCATCCCATCCCATCCATCCCATCCCATCCCATCCCATTCCCAATCCCATCCATCATCCCATCCCATCCAACCCATCCCATCCCATCCCATCCCCCCATCCCATCCCACCCCACCCATCCCCCATCCCATCCACCCCATCAACATCCCAGGCCCCTGGCCCTGCTCTCCCGTCTGCCCTGGACATGGGATGGAAATCCAGGATGCTGCAAGAGCCTGGCAGGGGAAACATGTCGAGGAATGAGGCTGGGGAGCTCTGGATGAGCTCTGGATGAGCTCTGGATGAGCTCTGGATGAGCTCCTCTGCTCTGCACAGGGACTCTGCACAGAGTCCCCGAGAGTGAAGGGAGGAAACCAGAGCACAAAGTCACAGAATTTCAGCCTCCCTTGGTGCTTTCTGGAGGGAGTTTCCAGCTCCCAGCCAGACCAAGGGCTGTGCCCCCCCTTCCCACCCAGCCAGGCATCAGGGCAGGATGGAAATCCAGGATGCTGCACCAGCCTGGCAAGGAAAACACGTTGAGGAACAAGGCTTGGGAGGTCTGGATGAGCTGTGGATGAGCTCCCCTGCTCTGCACAGGGGGTGTGCTGAGCCCCCGGGGGTGAAGGGAGGAAACCAGAGCACAGAGTCACAGAATTTCAGCCTCCCTTGGTGTTTTCTGGAAGTAGTTCCCAGCTCCCAGCCAGACCAAGGGCTGTGCCCCCCCCCTTCCCACCAAGCCAGGCATCAGGGCAAGCTCTGGCTGCTGACAGGAAGGCTGAGGGTTGCTCTGGCTGCTATAATTAGCTCCAATCCGAGCTGCAACATCATGAAACCCGGGTGGTGCAGCACAAACAGAGCCTTGTTCCCTCGGAATAACGGGATCCTTTGACCTCCAGGATGTCAGAGGGGTCACGGGCCAGCTGAGGAGGCAGAGGGGTGACAGTCACACGGCAGGGGAGGGAGGAACCACAGAGCACTTGGGAAAGGCTCTTAGGACAGCTGGGAAAGGGCTCTGGAGCCCCGGAGGAGGAGGAGGAGGAGGCGTGGAGCCGTTTCTCTTGGAGATGGCTCCTTTGAAAGGCAGCAGGGATTTACAGCAATCAGCAGCTGTTTGCTCGTGGTGGCCGTGGTGTGGCCAAGCCTGTGCAGCCAACAGCCATCCCCCAGGATCTGGAGCTCATCCCCAGGGCTGGAGCTGGGCAGGAAAAGAGCTGCAAGGGAACAGATTTGTCTCCCCCGCAGCAGGAGCCTGCCCTGGGTGTAGCAGAGGCCTCGTGTGGGTGTCTGTGTGGGGGTTTTTGTGACTGGGTTGGCTCTTCCCTGCTCTGTGCACGCTGTTCTGTGGCTGTTCCCACAGCTGGGAACCAGGAGGGAGGGTTTTGGGAGCTTTGGGTGAGGGGCAGCAGCCTCTCAGTGAGACACCTCAATCATTGTCCCTAAATCAGAGCATTTTGGGACCAGAGCTCAGTGCTGACCCAATCCTGCTGGCCCTGCTCCTGGGAACACCAGGATCCAAGCCCTGCCTGTGTGAGGGTCCCCATCACTGGAGGGGATGTTTGCAGAGCCCCAGCAAGAGCTGCTGCAGTTCTCCCTGACGAGCTCTAAAAAAATGAATCCTCCTCCTGAACAATCCAAGCCACCCAGCTGAATTTTTCGGGGCTGGGGAACATCCCTGGGCAAGCCCCCCCTGGCCCTGCTGGGGCTGAGCTGCAGGGACTCCCTTGCCCTTGGAAATCTGTGCCCAGGGGTGTAAAATGGAGCCATCCCCTGGTGTGTTTTACTGGAAGCACAGCAGGGCAAAGCAGGGACAGAACCCCCTGAACTTTTCTACCACGAAGCCCGATCCGGGCAGGGCAGGGGGAAGGTTTTCCCAAACAGCCCCAGGCGGGAGCTGCTGCCCTGCTGTCCCCCCGGGGTGGGCTGGCAGGGAAGCCAAACCCTGGCTGTGGGCTCTGGGGGAGCCCAAACGTTCCTGAGGGAGCCTTCCCTGCCTGGCAGGTGGCGGAGCTGGAGTCGCAGGGCACTCACGACTCCTCCAGCGACAACAACAAGGAGGAGCTGAGCCAAACCCTGGAGGAGCTGGAGCTGCTCATCAAGGCTAAGGATGAGGTGAGGCTGTGGCACCCCAAGCCCGGGGCTGGGGGGGTCTGTCAGTCTGTCAGTCACTGCTGGTTTGGGGTCAGAGGGTCCCCAGGCTGGTTCCCTCTCCGGGGAGGCAAAGCTGAGGGAGAGGGAAGCACTGGGAGCTTCCCAGCCTGTCCATAGCCCGGGGTGGGAGGCTCAGAGCTCTCTTACCCCTTCCCCTCTCAGCCCTCTGCAGTGACAATTAGCCTCTGGTGTAGTAATTGCCTCCAGCTCTCGCTGCATTTAAATGAATGAGTGATTTAAAGCCGGGTTTTAACTCCAGAGGCTGAGGAGGAGGAGAGGTGTGAGGAGGATCCCTGTGATTCACACTCCGTGGGCTGTCTGCTGGCCTTGCTTCAGCAAAGGGGGGGATGGAGCCCTGGGATTGAGGAGGGAAGGTGGTTTGGGCTCCCTGATCCTCACTCAGAACACTTTTGTCCCTCCTTCCCGGGCCTGCTCAGGCTGGAGGAAAAATGCTGGGGCAAAGGTGTGCACGGGATTTTCCACCCCACAGCTCGTCCCTGTCCCCAGGAGCCCGGGATGTGCCCTGGGATGTGGGAGCAGGGATGCAGAGGGCACTGAGCTTTGCTGGCACTCAGATTTGGGGACCGAGGGCTCCGAGGGAGGCAGCAGGGGATGGGAATTTGGAGCTGCCTGGGATTGTGGGATCCTTGGAGAGAGGGCTGAAGGGTGTGGTGGGAGCTGCTCCCGCTGGGAGAGGGGTGGATCCGACGTGTTTCTCTCCCTCCTCACGTTCCAGGAGATCCAGATGCTGAAGAGCCAGAAGTGTGGCCGCTGGGAAGCAGAGGGGGAGCGGGAGGAGACGCTGCAGAAGCTGCAGGTGAAGGTGGCAGATCTGGGGCACCCCTG